CCACTCACGAAGCTGCCGAGGGGTGGGGTCGTCCGGGAGAAGCAGTGCCCGCTGCTGTCCACCCCTGGCCGCAGCAACTGCCGCGGAATTGGCCATGACAGACAGTGACTGTCAGGAGTAGGTCCAGCACCTCCAGCTCCTACAGCGCCAGCAGCACCTCCTGCACTCCCAGCAGCACCTCCTCCACTCCCAGTAGCACGAGTAGCAGCAGCAGCAGTAGTAACAGCAGCAGGGCGGTTCGGTGGGGCTGGGAGGCCACACCTCCACCACTCCCAGCAGTTCTCCCTCCAGCAGCAGCAGTAGCAGGGCGGCTCGGGCAGCAGCAGCAGACCGAGCAGTAGCAGCAGCAGCAGTAGACCGAGTAGCACTAGTTGTCGCTGCAGTAGTTGCAGCAGCAGCAGTAGTGACAGCTCAGGTTTGGGCGGCGCGGCTCGGACAGGGCGGCGCGGCTCGGGTTCAGTGGCGGAGCAGCAGCAGCAAGGAGGAGCAGCTGCAGCAAGTGGCAGCAGCAGCAGCAGCAAGAAGGAGCAGCTGCAGCAAGTAGCAGCAGCAGCAGCAGCAGCAGCAGCAGGGAGGAGCAGCTGCAGCAAGTAGCAGCAGCAGTAGCAAGGAGGAGCAGCTGCAGCAAGTAGCGGCAGCAGCAGCAAGGAGGAGCAGCTACAGCAAGTAGCAGCAGCAGTAGCAAGGAGGAGCAGCTGCAGCAAGTAGCAGCAACAGTAGCAGGGCAGTGCAGGCGGCAGCAGCACTGCAGCAGCAGTTCAGGCGCAGCAGCGAAGCAGCAGCGTGAGTGCAGCAGTAACACGGGCCGCGTGCGGGCCAGGCATGGGCTGTAAGGGCTGCTTGTGGGCCTGGCGCGGGCTGTACGAGCTGCGTGGGGGCCTGGCGCGGGCTGTTCGAGCTGCGTGCGGGCCTGGCGCGGGCTGTACAGGCTGCGTGCGGGCCTGACGTGGGCTGTACGGGCTACGCGTCGGGCCTACGCGCGCAGCAGGTGCGTGCTAGGGGCTGGCGGGCAGCGTGAGTGGCGCGCGCAGCAGCAGGAACGAGGGGGGACCGGGTGTAGGGGCTAACGGGCCGCGCGAGTGGCGCACGGGGCAGCTAAGGCGCGGTCAGGGGGGGGGGGGGGTGTCACACGTGACTAGGCAGAAGAATCGCGCCTAGGGCAGAAAAATGAACCGTTTCGCCTAGGGCGCGTTTTCGCATTTCGCGTTTCTCCTAGGGGCGCGACTCGGGCAGCAGATCGAAATAGCAGTGGTGGGCCCTTTTAAAAATTCGGTCCTAAGGAGCATTTTGCTCTTAATACCATGTTAGAATCACTAGCTAGGTGAGGATGACGATTAGGTAAGGGGGGGGGGTACAAGGACTATCGAGAGTGAAATGTTGTACCCTCTAAGGAGAGAACCATACACAACATAGAGTGAAATAAGCAGAACAATATGTTTTGACACCTACTCGATGATACCTTCTCATAATTATGCAATCGAAATGGTCTGATTAGTAGGAGTTGGGTAAAATATGCAAATCTATAAAGTTTTGTACCCAATATGAGGCAACGCATTAAAGCATAACAACCATATATAACATTTGACTAGCAGCTACGCTAGTATTGACATGAAAGTTATTCTCAAAGGTTCGCACAATATGATGCCACGGGTGCATGCCACACATTCAACAAGTTATTGCAAATTCGTGCAGCAATGCGTTCAAATGGAATCACTATCTCGATGAGTAATCCTACATTTTTACAATGGGAAATATGAAGCTATGGAAATGGATTAAAGATGTAGTGTGCAAACCTTATGCGCATGGTTTAGTTGGCCGACCTGGGTTCGCGGGGCTGCCGGAACTGGCTGACGTGTGAGGTGTTTTCCCTCCGCTGTTTTCGCAAGCGCCTCTGCTGGGTGCAGGTGGGTCATTGACGGTACAGATATTGCTCCCATTCCTTGAACTTACGTAATCGCATGGTGGTGACATGAAGCGGAATGTGGGGAAACGATCGGCGGAGCTGTTCAGGTGGGGTGGGCTGAACGATGAGCTTCAGGTGGCGACGCTCCGCCAGGCCTCTTGAATCAGAGGGTACTTTCATTCTTTAGCCAGTGTTTCAGAGTCATCATATACGAACCCGGGTGATGGTATATATCGCTTTGTACTGCTTGTACCGAGCAGAACGCCCCTCTTTCGTTTATCACATACAGCCAAACCCGCCCAGTTTGATCCTGTGTTGAATTAACAAAACACTCGAAATTGGCGAGCCCTTTGCTTATCCCTGCTGCCCACCTCTTGTCTCTAGCTCCTCGAGTGGTTAGCGGGAATTAAACTCTGTTTGCGAGGATTTCACTTCCAGTTCCGAAACGAGTGGAAATATAGATCCCGAAATTTCGTGAGCATGCTACTCGTGGCACTCTGCGTTGGCAGGGTGAACCTGGGTCACGACTCGTTTCTGAGCTGTCAGCAGGAGAGGGGATGTCAGATTCAACTTCGACTGTCCTTGGCAGCACGACATACGGCGCAATGTGCGCTTCAGATCCAGTTCGCTTGGGCATGAGCGAATGAATTCTTGTTCGCAGACGAGCATGGGGAAACAGGAAAGTTACACTACGGTTTTACACATGTAGGTGCGGTTAAGAGGGGCGAAGATCTTGTTCCACAAGCGTACCACATGCCTTGGCGCTTCTCTGCCCAGCCACACACCACACCTCCGTACTACAGATGACTACGCAACGTGAGAAAATCAATACAAGTTGTGGTTTAGAAATAGCCGATCACACGAAAATTACTAATCAAGTCTCTTTAACTGTTTCCTACTAGCCAGTCACTCTGCGATTGAGATTTTCTTCGGTAGTACTAGCTTACACATAGAGGTAGAACACATCGACTTTCGTGGCAACGATGGCGACGCGAAACCTCCACGGTCCGCTCTTCCTCCTTGCGGTACTACTACTCAGCGCTGTCGTCGCGGCGCACGCGCAGTACTCTGCCTCGGCCGCTCTAAAGAAGATCGAGTCCAAACTATCACTTGCCGGAATGACGTCCTCGCTCCAGTACATGAGGGCATGTGGTGAGCTCTCCGTGCAACGTGGCGCGTCACGTGCACCACTGTGGCTGATCAAGTCCTGTCCACAACGAAGACGACGCTACTCTTGCCATTGAACAGCGCGTGGGGCAGGCTCAGCTCGACAGTGTTGAGCTCCCTCAACAAGAATCCCACCAGCATGTGGCAGGTGTTTGCGTACAACTTGCTGGGTGCATATTACACGGTCAATGGCCTCGCCGCGATTCCGTACAACACACAGGTGAGCCGTTTGCTCACTTCGGAAAATCTGAACTCATAAGAGTCAGCCCCCTCTTCACTATAGTATGCGCTGCGTGCCATGCTCCCGCCTCCATGTGCGGCTTTTCTCAAGAATCATGCGTTAATTTTCTCACCTCTTCTCCTAGAAGAGTCCTTTTGTTCCCATTCGTTCCCTCTTCCTGACTCCGTTCCTCTCTGCTTCTCACCCGCCCTGCAACGCAACAGATTCCGACGGGGCTTGGGGGGTCGATGATGGTAAAGCGCTTATCGACGCAGGCCGTGCAATTTGGGAGACCCGACGGAAGGGGTGGCACCTATGTCAAGATGAACGTGTACCAGCACCCCCAGGTGGAGATATATGGGGTGGACAACGTCTTGATGCCCCCTAAGTTTAGCTAAAAGCTCCATCTGCATTTTCCAGCACGCATTTGTGCCTTCATACAGCTTGCTTTGTGCTAAGCAGAGCGAGATTGTATGAAAATTGTATAACTTGGTCATATATTTAAACCTCACCAACCAACCTAGCCTAGCTTTTTCACGCCCTGCACCACTCTGGCAGACCCTTTGATTTGGCATTATCTACATTTTATAGAAACCGGGACGCATATCATGCAGCAGAATCATGCTGGGAGAGCAATGGATTTACTAAGATGCAGGAAGAATACACAATAACCGGACACTTCAAAGGAAATTGAACAGCATAACTAGACAAGTCACTTGAAATTCAGTCAAGTCAATACTTCAGCCCGTTAATGTGCCATCATTTCATACCTGAATGTGCCATTGAGTTATACCTGTTCTCCGAATTTGGGCTTTTTACCTCGGAATCCCCCCATCCCTCCCCAACCCTATGGACCATGCATCTGTTTTTGCATGGTCTGGTATGTTAGACAACCTGCACTCTGCCCCAGGAAGTGCCAATGTGTGTGTGCAACAAGACTTTCATATACCGCTTGTGGACAGGGCAACGCATCCGTCTAGCGACCGTGTTGAGCAGATGGCCAATCCTTGTGTTTTCAAATACCTGTACCTTGGATCCTGTTTTTCAGTAGTAATGGGGGTTGCGTGCGTGCGCGCGTGCGTGCGCGTGTGTGTGTGTGTGTGTGGGGGGGGGGGGGGGCGCGTATCTGAAGTTTCTCGGAGGCTGCAAGGTCATATTGGCTGCATCAAGTTTGTTCTATGCCTCTGTAACCTAGTGCCATGGTAAGTCTGCAAACAGCCCACCCTAAGTGACAACAAACCAGAGACCAATGGTTGGCTCTCTTGTTATCAACGACATATCCACTTGCTTCAAGACTGTGCCCTGCCCTGGTTCTTCTTGGGAATCCTTCAAACAACACGTTTGTAGCACTTTATGCTCAATTACCATTTCTGTTGGACTCTTAAACCAGGACATTGTGGCATTTTGCCGTGTCGCAATACTCAAAAGGGTAGTTGTTTGGCGCTACCATGGCTTCAGTGGTGATGGAAAAGGGTTTGTCGTAACTTGGAAGGTCATAATCCACTTGAATCCACAACGCCCGATACCCCACCTGCCAACACATCACATCCAGGGAACACGGGAGTGAGATGACACATGTTATGAAAAACAAGCAAGCCCATAGAAAGTCCACATCCTTATATTTCCTTTGGGAAACCTCACTCCAGGCAGCCAGCTGTCGCCTGGTAGCCATAGCCGTAGTTAGCAGCGTGAGGATGATCAATGTCTCACCTTGGGAATGTCGCTGACAGTGGCGCTGAAATGCCACTTGCCATCGTCCTTCCTTGTAGGGGGCGTGACTTTATCTTGGAAGAAGGCGATGGGTTGCACACAGAGCTTCCCCAGCCTGCTCACGTAGCTCCCCGCCGGGCCCTGGAACGGCAGCACACTGCCATGCGATCCCACGACATGAACCGTATGGCGTACAGTCACATGGCGTACAATCACATGGCGTACAGTCACATGGCATACAGTCACATGGCATACAGTCAAATGGCGTGCAGTCACATGGCACACAGTCACATGGCACAAAGTCACATGGCACACAGTCACATGACAGTCGCATGGCATAAAAACATGGAATGGGGTGAGTACCATATGGTGACATCAAGGAACGTCTGTACAGTCACAAGTCATACAATCACATGTGCAGTCACATGTATCGACAAGAAAGGTACACAACATAAAACAATAAGGGAAACGAATGTACTGGAGGCACAGCAAGGCAGTGAGGGGGCACAGCAAGACAGTGAGGAGGCACGGCAAGACAGTGAGGAGGCACGGCAAGACAGTGAGGAGGCACGGCAAGACAGTGAGGAGGCACGGCAAGACAGTGAGGCACGGCAAGACAGTGAGGAGGCACGGCAAGACAGTGAGGAGGCACGGCAAGACAGTGAGGAGGCACGGCAAGACAGTGAGGAGGCACGGCAAGACAGTGAGGAGGCACGGCAAGACAGTGAGGAGGCACGGCAAGACAGTGAGTAGGCACGGCAAGACAGTGAGGAGGCACGGCAAGACAGTGAGGAGGCACGGCAAGACAGTGAGGAGGCACGGCAAGACAGTGAGGAGGCACGGCAAGACAGTGAGGAGGCACGGCAAGACAGTGAGGAGGCACGGCAAGACAGTGAGGAGGCACGGCAAGACAGTGAGGAGGCACGGCAAGACAGTGAGGAGGCACGGCAAGACAGTGAGGAGGCACGGCAAGACAGTGAGGAGGCACGGCAAGACAGTGAGGAGGCACGGCAAGACAGTGAGGAGGCACGGCAAGACAGTGAGGAGGCACGGCAAGACAGTGAGGAGGCACGGCAAGACAGTGAGGAGGCACGGCAAGACAGTGAGGAGGCACGGCAAGACAATGAGGAGGCACGGCAAGACAGTGAGGAGGCACGGCAAGACAGTGAGGAGGCACGGCAAGACAGTGAGGAGGCACGGCAAGACAGTGAGGAGGCACGGCAAGACAGTGAGGAGGCACGGCAAGACAGTGAGGAGGCACGGCAAGACAGTGAGGAGGCACGGCAAGACAGTGAGTAGGCACGGCAAGACAGTGAGGAGGCACGGCAAGACAGTGAGGAGGCACGGCAAGGCACTGAGGTTGTGCAAAACGCATCACACACAGCAACACCCACATGGTGGGAAGGAGTGAGCAGCTGAGGTTGCCGCCTCTCACCATCCCGTCCCTCCGCTCACCATCCCATCTCACCGCTCACCATCCCGTCCCTCCGCTCACCATCCCATCTCACCGCTCACCATCCCATCTCACCGCTCACCATCCCATCTCACCGCTCACCATCCCATCTCACCGCTCACCATCCCATCTCACCGCTCACCATCCCATCTCACCGCTCACCATCCCATCTCACCGCTCACCATCCCATCTCACCGCTCACCATCCCATCTCACCGCTCACCATCCCATCTCACCGCTCACCATCCCATCTCACCGCTCACCATCCCATCTCACCGCTCACCATCCCATCTCACCGCTCACCATCCCATCTCACCGCTCACCATCCCATCTCACCGCTCACCATCCCATCTCACCGCTCACCATCCCATCTCACCGCTCACCATCCCATCTCACCGCTCACCATCCCATCTCACCGCTCACCATCCCATCTCACCGCTCACCATCCCATCTCACCGCTCACCATCCCATCTCACCGCTCACCATCCCATCTCACCGCTCACCATCCCATCTCACCGCTCACCATCCCATCTCACCGCTCACCATCCCATCTCACCGCTCACCATCCCATCTCACCGCTCACCATCCCATCTCACCGCTCACCATCCCATCTCACCGCTCACCATCCCGTCCTGCCTTGGTGCAGAATGAACCGGAAGTCGCGCCGCTTGCTGCCCATGAAGGTCTTCCCAGTCCTGCCAGCAACACACGCGTGCACGCATGGGGGGAGGCGGGGGGGGGAGTGAATGGGAGAGAGTGGGAGACGATGGGTGGGAGTGGGAGATAATGGAAGTGCAAAGGGGAAAGGGAGGAGGCATGAGAAATCAGGATGAGGCTGTTGGGGGAAGTGGTCATAATTGGGGGTGGTGGGGGCGTGGGTGGAAGCAGGGAGCGGCGGTGAGTCCCTGTGTGCAGGTCAACGCCTCCCATGGCGTGTGGTCAGAGTGGTCGGAGGGGTCAATGTGGTCGGATTGGTCAGAGTGGTGAGATCAATGAGAGCAATGCTCACCACCATGCTCCCACCGCCATTCCCTCGCCATGCTTCCACATTCCCGTACCATGCTTGCACAGCCACAGGCTTAACCTCTGACGTGGCATGGATGGTGTAGGAGGGCCAATCAAAGCGCCACGTAAGCTTGGGCCAGAGCACGCGAGTGAGCAGAGGGGAGCAGGTCCAAGGCAGCAGCAGCGGAGGGGCAGCAGGGCGCCCCCCCAACGCCAGCGAGAACAGCCCCGCCCTCCCAATGGTGCTGCTGCTGCTGCTGCTGCTGCCGGTAGGATTGGAAGAGGAGGGGGGTGAAGATGAGGGTTGGTGAGAGGAGGAAGGGGAGGTGGGTGGGCGCCAGGTGAGGGAGGGGCGGCTGGACGGGGGCAGGGCGGCGCAGGAGGAGGTGTGGTGGAGCAGCGCGAGGAAGAAGGACATGCAGGCGTCGTAGCCCTGATGGGGGGGAGTTGAGGAGGGGCGAGGGTAGGCGTGAGTGGGGGGATGGCAGTGCAATACAAAGGTGAGGACGACGCACACGCAGGCGAGCAGGCAAGCAGACACGCAGGCGAGCAGGCAAGCAGGTAAGCAGGCGAGCAGGCAAGCAGGCGAGCAGGCGAGCAGGCGAGCAGGCAAGCAGACACGCAGGCGAGCAGGCAAGCAGGTAAGCAGGCGAGCAGGCAAGCAGGCGAGCAGGCGAGCAGGCGAGCAGGCAAGCAGACACGCAGGCGAGCAGGCAAGCAGACACGCAGGCGAGCAGGCAAGCAGGTAAGCAGGCGAGCAGGCAAGCAGGCGAGCAGGCGAGCAGGCGAGCAGGCAAGCAGACACGCAGGCGAGCAGGCAAGCAGGTAAGCAGGCGAGCAGGCAAGCAGGCGAGCAGGCGAGCAGGCGAGCAGGCAAGCAGACACGCAGGCGAGCAGGCAAGCAGACACGCAGGCGAGCAGGCAAGCAGGTAAGCAGGCGAGCAGGCAAGCAGGCGAGCAGGCGAGCAGGCGAGCAGGCAAGCAGACACGCAGGCGAGCAGGCAAGCAGGTAAGCAGGCGAGCAGGCAAGCAGGCGAGCAGGCGAGCAGGCGAGCAGGCAAGCAGACACGCAGGCGAGCAGGCAAGCAGACACGCAGGCGAGCAGGCAAGCAGGTAAGCAGGCGAGCAGGCAAGCAGGCGAGCAGGCGAGCAGGCGAGCAGGCAAGCAGACACGCAGGCGAGCAGGCAAGCAGGTAAGCAGGCGAGCAGGCAAGCAGGCGAGCAGGCGAGCAGGCGAGCAGGCAAGCAGACACGCAGGCGAGCAGGCAAGCAGACACGCAGGCGAGCAGGCAAGCAGGTAAGCAGGCGAGCAGGCAAGCAGGCGAGCAGGCGAGCAGGCGAGCAGGCAAGCAGACACGCAGGCGAGCAGGCAAGCAGGTAAGCAGGCGAGCAGGCAAGCAGGCGAGCAGGCGAGCAGGCGAGCAGGCAAGCAGACACGCAGGCGAGCAGGCAAGCAGACACGCAGGCGAGCAGGCAAGCAGGTAAGCAGGCGAGCAGGCAAGCAGGCGAGCAGGCGAGCAGGCGAGCAGGCAAGCAGACACGCAGGCGAGCAGGCAAGCAGACACGCAGGCGAGCAGGCAAGCAGGTAAGCAGGCGAGCAGGCAAGCAGGCGAGCAGGCGAGCAGGCGAGCAGGCAAGCAGACACGCAGGCGAGCAGGCAAGCAGGTAAGCAGGCGAGCAGGCAAGCAGGCGAGCAGGCGAGCAGGCGAGCAGGCAAGCAGACACGCAGGCGAGCAGGCAAGCAGACACGCAGGCGAGCAGGCAAGCAGGTAAGCAGGCGAGCAGGCAAGCAGGCGAGCAGGCGAGCAGGCGAGCAGGCAAGCAGACACGCAGGCGAGCAGGCAAGCAGGTAAGCAGGCGAGCAGGCAAGCAGGCGAGCAGGCGAGCAGGCGAGCAGGCAAGCAGACACGCAGGCGAGCAGGCAAGCAGACACGCAGGCGAGCAGGCAAGCAGGTAAGCAGGCGAGCAGGCAAGCAGGCGAGCAGGCGAGCAGGCGAGCAGGCAAGCAGACACGCAGGCGAGCAGGCAAGCAGGTAAGCAGGCGAGCAGGCAAGCAGGCGAGCAGGCGAGCAGGCGAGCAGGCAAGCAGACACGCAGGCGAGCAGGCAAGCAGGTAAGCAGGCGAGCAGGCAAGCAGGCGAGCAGGCGAGCAGGCGAGCAGGCAAGCAGACACGCAGGCGAGCAGGCAAGCAGGTAAGCAGGCGAGCAGGCAAGCAGGCGAGCAGGCGAGCAGGCGAGCAGGCAAGCAGACACGCAGGCGAGCAGGCAAGCAGGTAAGCAGGCGAGCAGGCAAGCAGGCGAGCAGGCGAGCAGGCGAGCAGGCAAGCAGACACGCAGGCGAGCAGGCAAGCAGGTAAGCAGGCGAGCAGGCAAGCAGGCGAGCAGGCGAGCAGGCGAGTAGGCAAGCAGGAAAGCAGGCAAGCAGGCGAGCAGGAGAGGCAGAGCGAGAGGCGGCTCACCCACTGAGAGGAGTGCAGCACCATGTGGTCGATGTTGGGCAGCAGCTTCAGGAACTTGGGCTCTGGTAGCCCCTCCCAGTAGTTGTAGCTGCCCCACCGTGCACAGGGGGGGGGATGCGGGGCGGAGAGGGGAGTATGAGGTGGGACGAGGTGCATTGCCAATGATCAGGTGAGAAGGTGAAAGATGAACCGTGAAAGATGCACGGTGAAAGATGAACTGAGAGATGGACGGTGGGAGATGGACGCTGAGAGATGGACGGTGGGAGATGGACGGTGGGAGATGGACGGTGGGAGATGGACGGTGGGAGATGGACGGTGGGAGATGGACGCTGAGAGCTTTGAAGCAATGAAGTAATGAAAGTCTCCATCAGCTGACATTAACAAGGAACGCCCAAGTTCAACATTTTCTTGTCCCTACTTTCTCATGATGCTCCTTGTGAACATTCCCATTCCCCCCTTTCAACCCCCCTTCCCCCATCCGCACCACCCTCCCCACCTCTGTTCCCCCATCCTCCCTCTCCACCTGCAGAGAAGCTCGGGGTCACGGAGGCAATGCCTGCCTCTCACCCACCTATCGCGGAGGCCCACCTGTCATCGCGGCGCCCACCTGTCATCGCGGCGCCCACCTGTCATCGCGGCGACCACCTGTCATCACCGCACCCCACCTGTCATCACCGCACCCCACCTGTCATCACCGCACCCCACCTGTCATCACCGCACCCCACCTGTCATCGAGGGCGAAGAACTCGTCGTTGGCAGCGGAGACAATGAGCTTGGGCATGGTGAGGCGCTCGCGGTAGCTGTACGCGTCCACCAGCTCCTGTGGCCGCGGGAGGGAGGGGAGGTTTGGTGGGGGGGTTAGGTACAGGCCGGATGACACCTTTTGAGCCGACCCAAAAGGAGGGCGAGTTGGGTGGGGTGGTTGGGTGGGGTGGTCGGGAGGGAGGGCGAGTTGGGTGGGGTGGTTGGGTGGGGGTTTTAGGTAAAGGCCGGGTGACATCTTTTGGCGACTCAGAAGGCATGGTGAGGCGGTCACGGTAGCTGTACGCGTCCACCAGCTCCTGTGGCCGCGGGAGGGAGGGATGGAGGATGAAGGGGGAGGGAGGGAGGGAGGGGGGGTGGAGGGGGCGGTAGGTACAGCTCAGCAGGGTACTCTTAAGGCGGTGACGGTAGCTGTATGCGTCCACCAGCTCCTATGGGCGCGGGAAGACAGGGGAAGGCGGGGAGGTACGGTCGGCCAGCAGCTTTTGAGCCCACTGAAAATGCATGGTGGTAGCTGTAGCACAGCACATGCTTGCTTCTTCCATGCGTGGACAGGTGACAGCACATGTGTGGGTATGACAGGACATGTGTGGGTATGACAGCACATGTGTGGGTATGACAGGACATGTGTGGGTAAGACAGCACATGTGTGGGTATGACAGCACATGTGTGGGTATGACAGGACATGTGTGGGTAAGACAGGACATGTGTGGGTATGACAGCACATGTGTGCGTATGACAGCACATGTGTGGGTATGACAGCACATGTGTGCGTATGACAGGACATGTGTGGGTATGACAGCACATGTGTGCGTATGACAGCACGCACGTATGACAGCACATGTGTGGGTATGACAGGACATGTGTGCGTATGACAGGACATGTGTGGGTAAGACAGGACATGTGTGGGTATGACAGGACATGTGTGGGTATGACAGGACATGTGTGGGTATGACAGCACATGTGTGGGTATGACAGGACATGTGTGGGTATGACAGGACATGTGTGGGTATGACAGGACATGTGTGGGTATGACAGCACATGTGTGCGTATGACAGCACGCACGTATGACAGCACATGTGTGGGTATGACAGGACATGTGTGCGTATGACAGGACATGTGTGGGTAAGACAGGACATGTGTGGGTATGACAGCACATGTGTGGGTATGGCAGCACATGTGTGGGTATGACAGGACATGTGTGGGTAAGACAGGACATGTGTGGGTAAGACAGGACATGTGTGGGTATGACAGCACATGTGTGCGTATGACAGCACATGTGTGGGTATGACAGCACATGTGTGCGTATGACAGGACATGTGTGGGTATGACAGGACATGTGTGGGTATGACAGGACATGTGTGGGTATGACAGCACATGTGTGGGTATGACAGGACATGTGTGGGTATGACAGGACATGTGTGGGTATGACAGGACATGTGTGGGTATGACAGCACATGTGTGCGTATGACAGGACATGTGTGGGTATGACAGGACATGTGTGGGTATGACAGGACATGTGTGGGTATGACAGCACATGTGTGGGTATGGCAGCACATGTGTGGGTATGACAGGACTCTCACAGCGAGCTGATAGAAGTGCAGCTGGAATGCATTGCTGCGAGTGGCGTTGTACTCCACTCCACGTGGAGTGGAAGCGCAGCAGAATGGCTTTTGAGTCGACTCTAAGTTCACATCACATCTCTGAGCAAGACAGGAGGAGGCTTACCATGAACCTGTTGAACTGCGGCTTACCATGAACCTGTTGAACTGCGGCTTACCATGAACCTGTTGAACTGCGGCTTACCATGAACCTGTTGAACTGCGGCTTACCATGAACCTGTTGAACTGCGGCTTACCATGAACCTGTTGAACTGCGGCTTACCATGAACCTGTTGAACTGCGGCTTACCATGAACCTGTTGAACTGCGGCTTACCATGAACCTGTTGAACTGCGGCTTACCATGAACCTGTTGAACTGCGGCTTACCATGAACCTGTTGAACTGCGGCTTACCATGAACCTGTTGAACTGCGGCTTACCATGAACCTGTTGAACTGCGGCTTACCATGAACCTGTTGAACTGCGGCTTACCATGAACCTGTTGAACTGCGGCTTACCATGAACCTGTTGAACTGCGGCTTACCATGAACCTGTTGAACTGCGGCTGGAGGATCTTGAGGGTGATGTTGTACTCGACGTGGAAGCGCAGCAGGATGGGCCAGCCGCCCAGCGAGCGGAACATGTGGCGGTAGCTCGCCACCATGCTGAAGAAATCGTAGCCGTACGATATGATCCCCACCACCCTCTGCCGTGGGCGGATTGACGGGGATGGGAGAGGGAGGGGGGGGGAGAGGGGAGGGGATGACAAGGTGGAGAGGGGAGACTGTAAGGCTAGATATGAAAGACGGACCTCCGCCAGTTGTCCTGCTGCCAGTCTAACAATGCCAGAGGATGGAAGAGGTAGATTGTGAGGACGGATTCTGTAGACAGCAACAAGAGACGGGGCTGAGCAGATAACGTGCAAGAATGGGTCTGCGAGAAAGAAATGGCGAGTCCATGACACCCTCCTGGCACCTTGCTGGTGAGGACGTGCTTGCATGCATGCAGGAGGCGAAGCGATGTATGCATGGATGGATGCAGGCGTGGATGCATGGAAGGATGCATGGATGGATGCATGGAAGGATGCATGGATGGATGCATGGAAGGATGCATAAATGAATGCATGGATGGATGCATGGATGGATGCATGCAGGCGTGGATGCATGGACGGATGCATGGATGGATGCATGGATGGATGAATGCAGGCGTGGATGCATGGATGGATGCATGGATGGATGCATGGATGGATGAATGCAGGCGTGGATGCATGGATGGATGCATGGATGGATGCATGGATGGATGCATGGATGGATGCATGCAGGCGTGGATGCACACGTAGGGGACAGGCAGACGTAAGGGACATGCAGAAGTAGGGGGCAGCCATATGGCACCACACCGTAAGACAATAAATTCGTATATGGAAATTCATGGAGAGCATTTACTGCCACATGTCACTGCAGCAGCACACCACACTATACCCCATGGCAATGCACTTCACTTCACACCGCATTTAAACAAAAACCATGCCGCATTCCACCTTGTCCACACCGCACTCCACCTTGTCAAGGGCGGCAGCCAGCCAGGAGCAAAGAGCCCTCTTGCTCACACCGATCATCACAAAGCCCTCCACCTGGCAGGGTGGAAAAGGGCGGAAAAGGGCGGAAAAGGGCTGGGGCAGGCGCGATAAGACACAAGGAGCAGCTGCCTTTTGGGTCCACCCAAACGCCACGCCGATCACTCTGAGCCCTCCACCTGGCAGCGTGGGGAAGGACTGGGACGGACGCGATCAGGTGTGAGCGGAAAAACAGCCTGTTAATTCCTCTATCTCTCCTCTACGCTTGAATTCATTCAACTCTGAGGAGTACCAGTTCGCCGTGGGAATCTGGCACTTTCGACTTCTGAAACGTCTCAAAATGTGGATCTGGCATTTCGTCGTGAGATCCGCGCACGTCCTGGCACTGGCTGGCATGGATGAAGCAGTTGGCTGGACCGGCTTGGGGGGTGGGGGGAGGAAAGGGTGCCACGATTTGAGCTTTACTCGACTAGACCTTATAGCCACTCAATCAATCATTGACAATACCCATTTCGCCAGTAAACCCACGTGATTTTCACACGGGAATGCTCTGTGACTATAATGAAAGTACAAGTCGAACCGGACAACAACATGTTCACCGCTAACATGCTAATGTCCAGGTTTGGGGCGAACATGCTAATGCTCAGGTTCGGGGCGAACATGCTAATGTTCAGGTTCGGGGCGAACATGCTAATGTTCAGGTTCGGGGCGAACATGCTAATGTTCAGGTTCGGGGCGAACATGCTATGCGAGTGTTTGACTTTGGTGTGGAACAATTGAACACCCAATTTCAGGAGTACGTTCTGGGCGAACCAAACATGTTCGTGTGAGAATCCTGGGATGAGAGGTGAACTCAAGGGTTGGTATATTGATAAAGAAGAGCAGTACAAATAGGGAATGGGGTGAGTGACCAAAGTTAGGGTTACCCCACACCATTATTGGCTGACCAATGTAGAGTTGAGCAGACGCCCCGCTCGGGTCGGGCTGACCCGACCCGACCCGTGGTTTTGCCCGGGTCGGGTCATGGTTTCCGAAACCCTGCCCCGTACGGGCCGACCCGACCCGACCCGGGCAGAAACCCGACCCAAGAGCCCATTTCGGGCCAGGTCGAGCCGGGTCGCGGGTCGGGACTGACCCGACCCGAATTCGGGTCAAAAATGTCGAAATCGGGTCGGGCCAGTTGCGCGACCCGATTTCGACAAGGGTAGGGCCGAAACCCTAGAACAAATGTAAATCGATGGGATTTTTTCCCCGTCGATTTCATTTCGACAAGCCTGCAGCTAGTGGACTTAGAGTAGTAGTTAGCAAGCCTTAAACTACCTCATAACCTAGGATGTCCGCACACGAATGCTAATACTTTAAGTTACTTGCCTAGATGTACGATTCTGGCTGCAAATAGACCATTTCGCGCTTGCCACTAGAGTAGTTTTTCTGCCACCTTGAATCTGGCGCTACCTCTAGTTTGCTTCCACCGCGCTACACCCGTGGCACGCCAGATTGTGATGAACACCCCTAGCCCCCCCTAAAGGGGCGGGTCTAGCTGGCCCGACCCGCCCCGACCCGAACTCGGGTCTCCTATGACCCGAGTGAGTTTGCACGGGTCGGGCCGGCTGTTTCAAGAATCCCGCCCCGTGCCCAGCCCGACCCGACCCAACCCGAGAGCCCGTGTGGCCCGCCAAAAACGGGTCGGGTCGGGCTGGGTCGGGCCGGATGCTCAACTCTAGACCAATGTGGTGGGGGTCTAGCCTAATAATTGAGGTTGCGCCAATTATTGGAGGAGCCAAACATTGGAGGGTTTGGCCACCAATGTTGGCTCCCCAACAATAATGGCCGCATGGGTTGTGGGAACCCAACCAAAAGTTGGGAGACCTTCTGAATGTGTACAACCATGAATTTGTACACTGTTAGGTCTAGCCATATGCATGCTATAATCTAACAGTTCGTGTTTTCCGGATTTCGCTCATGCCTAGAACGGGCATGGCGCTGCACAACAAGGGCATGGCGCTGCACAACAAGGGCATGGCGCTGCACAACAAGGGCATGGCGCTGCACAACAAGGGCATGGCGCTGCACAACAAGGGCATGGCGCTGCACAACAAGGGCATGGCGCTGCACAACAAGGGCATGGCGCTGCACAACAAGGGCATGGCGCTGCACAACAAGGGCATGGCGCTGCACAACAAGGGCATGGCGCTGCACAACAAGGGCATGGCGCTGCACAACAAGGGCATGGCGCTGCACAACAAGGGCATGGCGCTGCACAACAAGGGCATGGCGCTGCACAACAAGGGCATGGCGCTGCACAACAAGGGCATGGCGCTGCACAACAAGGGCATGGCGCTGCACAACAAGGGCATGGCGCTGCACAACAAGGGCATGGCGCTGCACAACAAGGGCATGGCGCTGCACAACAAGGGCATGGCGCTGCACAACAAGGGCATGGCGCTGCACAACAAGGGCATGGCGCTGCACAACAAGGGCATGGCGCTGCACAACAAGGGCATGGCGCTGCACAACAAGGGCATGGCGCTGCACAACAAGGGCATGGCGCTGCACAACAAGGGCATGGCGCTGCACAACAAGGGCATGGCGCTGCACAACAAGGGCATGGCGCTGCACAACAAGGGGAGGGGTGGAGTGGCAGGGGTAGGCGAGTGACTGGCGGACGGCCAATAGGGTAAGCTTTCTCCGCACTCTTCTCACACTCCTTCATCGTACTGTAGAGCCTTTTGGCCCCTTACACAAGGCAACGATTATCATTTTTAACACTCGCCTCACCACCATGCACTCGCCTCACCTCACCTCACCTCACCTCACCTCACCTCACCTCACCTCACCTCACCTCACCGGCACACACTCACGGGCACGGAGGGCAGCAGAGCGCGGGTGGCGAGTTGGGCGACATCGAAGCCGCGCACCACCGACTTGACCATCGGGAACTCCATGGCCCACTCGTAGTCGCTCGGGTTCTCCAGAAACATGGCCGTCGCGTCTGGCGTTGCCAGGAAAGGGAGGGGGGGGGGAAGAGAGAGGGGCGGGGGGGGGGAGGGGAGAGGTGGGAGGAGGGAATAGAAGAAAGTGAGAAAGAAAGGACGGAAGGACAGTGTTTTGAGGGCAGGCTGAAACGTGGGTAACCCCGGGGTTAGGCTGTTGGCCTTCATCCCACTCACCATCACGTTTCCCCACTCACCCCCGCCCCACTCACTCCATGACGGCACGGCATGGATCGCATGGCCCCACTCACTCACGCGCCATGATCTGCCCCACTCACTCGCGCCATGATCTGCCCCACTCACTCACGCGCCATGATCTGCCCCACTCCCCCCCGCGCCATGATCTGCCCCACTCACTCACGCGCCATGATCTGCCCCACTCACTCACGCGCCATGATCTGCCCCACTCACTCACGCGCCATGATCTGCCCCACTCACTCACGCCATGATCTGCCCCACTCACTCACGCGCCATGATCTGCCCCACTCACTCACGCGCCATGATCTGCCCCACTCACTCGCGCGCATGATCTGCCCCACTCACTCACGCGCCATGATCTGCCCCACTCACTCACGCGCCATGATCTGCCCCACTCACTCACGCGCCATGATCTGCCCCACTCACTCACGCACCATGATCTGCCCCACTCACTCACGCGCCATGATCTGCCCCACTCACTCACGCGCCATGATCTGCCCCACTCACTCACGCGCCATGATCTGCCCCACTCACTCACGCGCCATGATCTGCCCCACTCACTCGCGCGCCATGATCTGCCCCACTCACTCACGCCATGATCTGCCCCACTCACTCACGCGCCATGATCTGCCCCACTCACTCACGCGCCATGATCTGCCCCACTCACTCACGCGCCATGATCTGCCCCACTCACTCACGCACCATGATCTGCCCCACTCACTCACGCGCCATGATCTGCCCCACTCACTCACGCGCCATGATCTGCCCCACTCACTCACGCGCCATGATCTGCCCCACTCACTCACGCGCCATGATCTGCCCCACTCACTCGCGCGCCATGATCTGCCCCACTCACTCACGCCATGATCTGCCCCACTCACTCACGCGCCATGATCTGCCCCACTCACTCACGCGCCATGATCTGCCCCACTCACTCGCGCGCATGATCTGCCCCACTCACTCACGCGCCATGATCTGCCCCACTCACTCGCGCGCCATGATCTGCCCCACTCACTCACGCCATGATCTGCCCCACTCACTCACGCGCCATGATCTGCCCCACTCACTCACGCGCCATGATCTGCCCCACTCACTCGCGCGCATGATCTGCCCCACTCACTCACGCGCCATGATCTGCCCCACTCACTCACGCGCCATGATCTGCCCCACTCACTCACGCGCCATGATCTGCCCCACTCACTCACGCGCCATGATCTGCCCCACTCACTCACGCGCCATGATCTGCCCCACTCACTCACGCGCCATGATCTGCCCCACTCACTCACGCGCCATGATCTGCCCCACTCACTCACGCGCCATGATCTGCCCCACTCACTCACGCGCCATGATCTGCCCCACTCACTCACGCGCCATGATCTGCCCCACTCACTCGCGCGCCATGATCTGCCCCACTCACTCACGCGCCATGATCTGCCCCACTCACTCACGCGCCATGATCTGCCCCACTCACTCACGCGCCATGATCTGCCCCACTCACTCGCGCGCCATGATCTGCCCCACTCACTCACGCGCCATGATCTGCCCCACTCACTCGCGCGCCATGATCTGCCCCACTCACTCACGCGCCATGATCTGCCCCACTCACTCACGCGCCATGATCTGCCCCACTCACTCACGCGCCATGATCTGCCCCACTCACTCACGCGCCATGATCTGCCCCACTCACTCACGCGCCATGATCTGCCCCACTCACTCGCGCGCCATGATCTGCCCCACTCACTCGCGCGCCATGATCTGCCCCACTCACTCACGCGCCATGATCTGCCCCACTCACTCACGCGCCATGATCTGCCCCACTCACTCGCGCCATGATCTGCCCCACTCACTCACGCGCCATGATCTGCCCCACTCACTCACGCGCCATGATCTGCCCCACTCACTCGCGCGCCATGATCTGCCCCACTCACTCACGCCATGATCTGCCCCACTCACTCACGCGCCATGATCTGCCCCACTCACTCACGCGCCATGATCTGCCCCACTCACTCGCGCGCATGATCTGCCCCACTCACTCACGCGCCATGATCTGCCCCACTCACTCACGCGCCATGATCTGCCCCACTCACTCACGCGCCATGATCTGCCCCACTCACTCACGCGCCATGATCTGCCCCACTCACTCACGCGCCATGATCTGCCCCACTCACTCACGCGCCATGATCTGCCCCACTCACTCACGCGCCATGATCTGCCCCACTCACTCACGCGCCATGATCTGCCCCACTCACTCACGCGCCATGATCTGCCCCACTCACTCACGCGCCATGATCTGCCCCACTCACTCGCGCGCCATGATCTGCCCCACTCACTCACGCGCCATGATCTGCCCCACTCACTCACGCGCCATGATCTGCCCCACTCACTCACGCGCCATGATCTGCCCCACTCACTCGCGCGCCATGATCTGCCCCACTCACTCACGCGCCATGATCTGCCCCACTCACTCGCGCGCCATGATCTGCCCCACTCACTCACGCGCCATGATCTGCCCCACTCACTCACGCGCCATGATCTGCCCCACTCACTCACGCGCCATGATCTGCCCCACTCACTCACGCGCCATGATCTGCCCCACTCACTCACGCGCCATGATCTGCCCCACTCACTCGCGCGCCATGATCTGCCCCACTCACTCGCGCGCCATGATCTGCCCCACTCACTCACGCGCCATGATCTGCCCCACTCACTCACGCGCCATGATCTGCCCCACTCACTCGCGCCATGATCTGCCCCACTCACTCACGCGCCATGATCTGCCCCACTCACTCACGCGCCATGATCTGCCCCACTCACTCGCGCGCCATGATCTGCCCCACTCACTCGCGCGCCATGATCTGCCCCACTCACTCACGCGCCATGATCTGCCCCACTCGCTCACGCGCCATGATCTGCCCCACTCACTCGCGCGCCATGATCTGCCCCACTCACTCGCGCGCCATGATCTGCCCCACTCACTCGCGCGCCATGATCTGCCCCACTCACTCGCGCGCCATGATCTGCCCCACTCACTCACGCGCCATGATCTGCCCCACTCACTCACGCGCCATGATCTGCCCCACTCACTCACGCGCCATGATCTGCCCCACTCACTCACGCGCCATGATCTGCCCCACTCACTCACGCGCCATGATCTGCCCCACTCACTCACGCGCCATGATCTGCCCCACTCACTCACGCGCCATGATCTGCCCCACTCACTCACGCGCCATGATCTGCCCCACTCACTCGCGTGCCATGATCTGCCCCACTCACTCGCGCGCCATGATCTGCCCCACTCACTCGCGCGCCATGATCTGCCCCACTCACTCGCGCGCCATGATCTGCCCCACTCACTCGCGTGCCATGATCTGCCCCACTCACTCGCGTGCCATGATCTGCCCCACTCACTCGCGCGCCATGATCTGCCCCACTCACTCACGCGCCATGATCTGCCCCACTCACTCACGCGCCATGATCTGCCCCACTCACTCACGCGCCATGATCTGCCCCACTCACTCGCGTGCCATGATCTGCCCCACTCACTCGCGCGCCATGATCTGCCCCACTCACTCGCGTGCCATGATCTGCCCCACTCACTCGCGCGCCATGATCTGCCCCACTCACTCGCGCGCCATGATCTGCCCCACTCACTCGCGCGCCATGATCTGCCCCACTCACTCACGCGCCATGATCTGCCCCACTCACTCACGCGCCATGATCTGCCCCACTCACTCACGCGCCATGATCTGCCCCACTCACTCGCGCGCCATGATCTGCCCCACTCACTCGCGCGCCATGATCTGCCCCACTCATTCGCGCGCCATGATCTGCCCCACTCACTCACGCGCCATGATCTGCCCCACTCACTCACGCGCCATGATCTGCCCCACTCACTCACGCGCCATGATCTGCCCCACTCACTCACGCGCCATGATCTGCCCCACTCACTCGCGTGCCATGATCTGCCCCACTCACTCGCGCGCCATGATCTGCCCCACTCACTCGCGCGCCATGATCTGCCCCACTCACTCGCGCGCCATGATCTGCCCCACTCACTCGCGTGCCATGATCTGCCCCACTCACTCGCGTGCCATGATCTGCCCCACTCACTCGCGCGCCATGATCTGCCCCACTCACTCACGCGCCATGATCTGCCCCACTCACTCACGCGCCATGATCTGCCCCACTCACTCACGCGCCATGATCTGCCCCACTCACTCGCGTGCCATGATCTGCCCCACTCACTCGCGCGCCATGATCTGCCCCACTCACTCGCGTGCCATGATCTGCCCCACTCACTCGCGCGCCATGATCTGCCCCACTCACTCGCGCGCCATGATCTGCCCCACTCACTCGCGCGCCATGATCTGCCCCACTCACTCACGCGCCATGATCTGCCCCACTCACTCACGCGCCATGATCTGCCCCACTCACTCACGCGCCATGATCTGCCCCACTCACTCACGCGCCATGATCTGCCCCACTCACTCGCGTGCCATGATCTGCCCCACTCACTCACGCGCCATGATCTGCCCCACTCACTCGCGCGCCATGATCTGCCCCACTCACTCGCGCGCCATGATCTGCCCCACTCACTCACGCGCCATGATCTGCCCCACTCACTCACGCGCCATGATCTGCCCCACTCACTCACGCGCCATGATCTGCCCCACTCACTCGCGCGCCATGATCTGCCCCACTCACTCGCGCGCCATGATCTGCCCCACTCACTCGCGCGCCATGATCTGCCCCACTCACTCACGCGCCATGATCTGCCCCACTCACTCACGCGCCATGATCT